ATCTTTCTTTATTTACAGCAGTAACCTTTCTAAACCATGATGTAGTAGCTCAAGATGTTAAGTATGCCATAGATAACTTATAGGGGACAAGAAGTAGAGCATGAAGTAGAGCAAGAAAGTAGCACTAAAAGAGCAAAGCTGAACTAAAGTGAGTCTCCGGCAGTGTTCCCGCTGGACTCAGCTTCAGTTACACTGTGACAATGACAACAAGAGGGAAGACAATGAGAACTTACAAAGGAAGCACTGAGTGACGTCTGACCTTTAGTTCATGTCCACAGAGGAAACGAGTGCTGTTTTGAGGGTAAATGTTTTGCTGATGTGTAATTATGAAGTAGTCAACCAGTGTGAAAAAACAGGATCCTGTACTACTGCAGTCCAAAGATTAATAAGTGGCTCGTGTGTGTGAACATCTTTGAGGATGCTACTGTAAGTAGCTGTCACTACTTCTGTAAACAGTGAAGATGATAACACATCCACTGGGCAATTTGAAATATCGACCAAGACTTTGGCACTGCCCTCTCAACCAATCTCTAATTTAGTCAGACGATGACACAAAGAGTTCACCCTCCAGCTTCTCCCACAAGGCTTTTCAAAACACTTGGGAAGGTGACTGTCCTCATGTATCACATCTGATGGCTGAGCAGTTTTATCGGAGGCTTCACCTAGCGATGACCCTACATCCTGGCCCTCTGTGATTGGTTACCTTTGAGCACCCCTGCTGAGGCAACACTCCTGCAGCTGACAGGAGAGGAGAGGGACAGTGGATAGGTCATCAATCTGAAAGTGGATTATTGGGGCACCTCTCCCTTCATCCACTGCCCGAGTCCGAATATGTTTAAAATGGGCCCCGCTGAGAAATGGGGAAAAATGACAATATGCAGATGATAATAACAATAATAATAATAATACATGTTATTTATATAGCGCTTTTCCTGGTGCTCAAAGCGCTTCACAAGCAAGTAAAGAACAAAAATAACAACAAAAGTAAAAATTGCTAAGCTAAGTGGAATAGGGGCAAGAGGTCAGTGGATTAGGAGTTGAAGGCAAGAGTGAAAAGGTGAGTTTTGAGGGATTTTTTGAATGACGTGAGAATGTTGGCAGATCGGCTGGGGAGGGAGTTCCAGAGTGATACAGAATTGTGCACATTTGTGTACGAGAGCACATACTGTAAGAGAGTATAAAGAGAAATATGATGTGATGTTTGTTCATCTAAATCACATCAAACTCAAGGCCCGGGGGCCAAATCAGGCCCGTGGTAGATTTAATTTCGGCCCGCAGGATAATTTTTAATTACTATTAGATCTGGCCCGCCGGTATATTGCACGCACACCTTCACTCAATCCTGAGGATTTCCTCAGCTCAGAGCCTGAGCCCAAACATTGATGAACTTGCACCCGAGATGAGATGAGAAGTATCTGGCTTGAACTAGCATCACAGAGCAGCACACTGAGTTTCAATGGATGTTTCTTTCTGCACTTTCTTTCTTGCAGGGCATGTTTTTTTCTTTGAGGGAAATTGTTTTTTTGAAGCTGTTGTTGGCCTGTGGAAAAATGTAATCATAAGAAATGACTCCAGAAAAGCTGCAGATAGAGCCATAAGAAATGACTGCAACTGATTTTTTAATGTTTAAAGTTGTTTTTATAGGCAATCATTTAAGCTTTGTTAATTCCAGGTTTAATATGTGCAATAAGTTCATTTCAATAAGTTTTGCAATAAACATTGAACCAGTCCGGCCCTCGACTAGTACCCATTTTTTAATTTTGGCCCACTGTGTATTTGAGTTTGACACCCCTGATCTAAATGATGTGTTAGAAAGAAAGAGCAGAATTAAGGAGGGAAGGGAGGATCTGTGTTTATTTACCTAGTGGCTTGGTCAGTCCAGTCAAAGCATGGATTTCAAGTGATCAACTGTGAGTTTAAGCAAAAAGATAAAAGGAAAGAGAATATCAGAAATATATAAAGAGATGGGTGCACAGGGTTTACGAGAAATTAGTAGCAAAACAAAGACGTCGGAGGGTTAACTGTAAAAGAGAGAAGAACGGAGATCAGAAGTGAGCGTCAGATGAGCAGCAGTGAGGCTGTGCGGCCTGCAGTGAAACGGTTAGATCTGGCTCAGAGTGGTTGCCTCACACAGCAGAAAGTGTGTCACAGGAGAGCTAGGCTAATGCACCGGGCTAATGTTGCCTCAGCGAGACCCTGCTGCATTCAGGCCTACGGTTAGCACTTACTGTTACTGTTTGCACAAGTGAAAAACTGAGAAAAACACAACAGCGTGAGCCACAATGAGGTTTAGCTCATACATGAAGAAGGACAGGCCTACAGTCAAACTCGACTGCATATCACTAATTGCTGCTCAGTCAGTAGTAACGTTTTATTCTCTCCTTAGTTGACCCTAAAAGCACTAGTAGCTGGCAAGGAACCAACATTCAGAAAGACAAAAATCAAAGCAATGTGCACTTTAAAAGGATCAATACAGCATTGACGGCGTTATTGACCTCCGTATATGCAGTGGAACTTACAAAGATCCATTTTGCTCTAGGGTTAAAGGTGTCATATTGAGTAAAGAAACAGTTTTGTTTAATTTGAAATATGTTAGACATATTCTCAAGGCCTAAAAAACGAATTGAAAGCTTTTCCTACATTGTCAGACATTTGCAAAGCCTAACATTCGCTTGAATAAGTATTGGCTTGAAGTGAAAAGTAGAAGAGGTAGCCTGAGGGAAACTTTTGGCGTGACACTGAATAAAATAAGTTTTAAAATTGCAGTTCACCAAAATAACTTCTTATAGTTTAAATAGTAATATGCCAACAATGTCTGAGTGACCAAATAGCATCTGTTAGGTTAGCTTGGTTCATTATTTCCCTCCCAATAGTTTAGTCTTTCTAACTCAGTCCAAATGTACAAGTCTATGCATCACTATCATTTAGCATTTATTATATTTTTAAATATCATGATTCTCCAGGGACTTCCTGTTGACTATAGTTGATTGTTTTTGTTTTTACACTGTTTCATATGTGTCCTGGCAACCGATTTACGCATTACGAAAGTGTTGACTAGTTAAGACATTCCCCAAGGATGCAATCTAATTGAGTAAATAAATGTCCTGATACTAGCTTGTCCACGAAGTCAGAAATGGAATAACAAAATCCTGCACTGTTTATTTTGCCTAGCCGTCCTTTTATATGTTTTTGTTTAAACCCACAGCGCCTCTAGTGGTCAGATATTCCAGAAGGTTCTAATGAGAGGCTATGTGTGAGTGTGTTTGAACCGGTGGTGACTAAATGTTCCCACCAAAGATATTCATCTTGATCTTGTTTACCCTGTTTGTATTATCACTCTGGGAAAATAGGCCTCATTACTGCTCCAATCTCATGAATACCACAGACATATTCAATTATGGCTGCAGGCTGCCAATTATGCTTCTGGCCTCACTTTGTGGCCCAGCAGATAGGTCGTTTCAATTGATTTCTAGGAGCCCTTCTCGTAAAAAAGAGGGATTTGTAATGATATTGAGATCTGAATTACACACACACACACTTGCAGGCCTTCACAAAGAAATACAATTATAATGTAGACATGTGAACCCATTCACCTGTATGCAAATGGTGAGTTTACTGCAGCATACACACATACACTGCTGACCTCTGGCTAATGAAAGATGAACCCAGTGGCTAAGCTGAAAATGATGCTCAGAGTGAATGATGTCAAACATCAACGCGCACAACCCAGTGGAGCCCCAGCTTCTCCCGTCACGCAGAGGTCGAGCCGAGGTCAGTTAAGGTCACTGATCAGTGTCTGCTCTGTAGCACACATCCAATAACCGTCCAGATATCACCACTGATGCTCCCCGTGTGGAATAAGATATGAAAACCAACAAGCGTCTGGGCCAGAGCCTCTTATTACCTTTCTTTCACGCAAATGAAAAAGCATTCACATTGCCATGATATTGTTTCTGTCTTGTATTTTTATTTCAAACATCAGGGAAGGCAAGTCATTTATAAAAGTGACTTGGCTGCCCTGATATCTGTTTTCTTACCTTGCTTTTTGCCATACTTAAACATTTTCAAACCGTAGTTCATTGCAACTACAATTTAACAAGTTTAAAGAAAACATTGTAATTATTCTGCCTGTCTTTCCAAGGCTGAACTCTTATTCTACTGGACCCAATCAACCTAAAATATGTGCATGCTTATTTTTGACGGCATGCTAAAGGTCTTCTTGTAGTTGCGGTGCGATAGGAAAAGCTAATAAATAACAGATTCCAAATTGAACCACAGCAGTCTTCAGGAAATAATCAGTGTGATATCTCTGCTCGTGTTGATCAGATCTTTGTCACTGGAAATAGTCTCTGCGTCACACAATGGATATTATATTTAATGATAGACTGCGAGGGTGGCCTATATAGGGTCTGATATGTAGTCTGTGTGATATGTTGCACCTTGTCAATTACAGTAATATCAGAAAAAAAGCCACACGACATTGAACTTGTAGCTTCTCTTCACAGCGATCCGTTTGATCTCCAGTGTCATCTCTTCATATCACCTCTGGATATGAAACCTTAAAAAATTAAAAAGTTGAAAGTTGAACTTCATACTGATAGCAATATTCAAGTCTTATTATGCAAGTAGAAACATTTTCCAACTGTCTCATGATATGTGTTCCTGGAGTTTTACTGCCTCAGGAAGCATTTCTCTAATCTCATCTATGGTTTTTAATTGAAATGCTTTATCTCTAGAGATTTCTGCCTTTCAGAAAGCTAATTGATTTTCCAAATAAATGAAATAGTTGTCACGATAAAATAAACATTTCCGAGGACAATGGCACCGTTAACAAAGGGCTATTAATAATGTGCATATCCACAAATCAAACTAAGCTGCCAATATTCACCAACGCAGCTTTTCAGACATAAACCATTATTTAGCAATGTGCAATATACACTGTGGCATTAACTCTGTGTTGTTTATGACTACTGAAGCTGATTCACCTGTTTGGGTTTCAGGATTTCTTCTTCTCTGAGCCTGCTCTTCTTTGACCACAACAAGAGACTCTCCAGCCCCTGCATCAAGGTACAGAAAGGTACAACACATTCAGATGTATTTGTTCTCCAACCCTCAGGACTATAGTGGATATTCTGTCTTCATGTAATGCCCTCATTAGCATCTTCTGCCCAGTTGTGACTGCAACTCGAGAGCCAGTGCTAATGAGACCACGGCCTGCTTGATGTTGTTTCTGGATATATTGAAACGGCTGAAAAGCCAGGAGAATTAGCTAATAGGCTGCAGAAAAACAGCATGCCTCGACCTTGTCTGGATTGAACAGCAATGGATCCTCAAGCCATTTTATCTAAAGGCGGCTGTCAAATAAAAAAAATGATGTTGCTCTGGGAGGCGGAACTTGTCCTTTGTGCAGACTCGTAAAACTCTGAGGGCTTTTCTTTGCTCAGGCCAAAAACTGATCCGGAGAGAAATGTCAGTGTCTCTGATGTTAAATAGTTTGAATACCATCAGTACAGTAAGTGTACCCGTGTTGTGTTGTTGCATGGATGACGGGGCATGTTTTGTCATGCAGACCCATGCACAATGTTGCCTGCAGAGCAATGAGCTCTGATGGAAGATAGCCGCGATGCTCGGCATCATGAGTGTCCTCTGTGGGCTTCCCTGAGGTTCACCACTGGACTCTTGATTTCACACTGGATTAATTTCATTCTGAGCACAAATCTCTTCTGCAATACCATCCACGGGAGCAAACTGCTGGTGTAAAGCAGAGGATCATTGCATAGGAATTGCGTCTTCTTTCCATTCTCATCCTGTGAAATGTTGTTGTTTTGGGAAAGTGTATGAGGAGGAAAAGAGAGTGCTGGAAGGAGCCACTTTGTACCTTCTTACATTTCTAGTGACATTGATAACAGCTCCTTGATTTTTGTACTCAAAGAAACCGATCAATATCCTTTCTGCAGCTGTAGCATTAGTGATTTTTCTTGCTCCGCTGAGCTGCCTGACGTTCATACATAACAGCGACCCATTCATCAGGGCACACTGGAAAACATCAAAGGGTGAAAGTTTAAAAACTTAATTTCTTTATAGTCTGGAAACAAAAAAACCTCTTTAATAAATGTTTGAACAAATGCTGACCTCTACAAATATTGATTGGATCAATATTACCTCAAATAAAACCACTCAGTGGGGAGCAATGACACATGGACAAGCATCTGAGAGCATATAGCTATTTACTTCCTGTTAGCGATGGTCATTGGAGACCTCATGCTGTAACACTGAGCATGAGTAGAAATGTTAACCTATAAAACCATATACAGACTTTTGGCAATAACTTTTAACTGATCCCTTTACACATTTGAAGTTTGATCAAAGGTGGTATCAGTAGTCTTCTCATAATGGAAAAACAACCCAGACAGTTTGCATTATCCAATGAAAAGCCAATACATGTCTTTTATATTTGAGCTAAATGACTAAAATCTACCTTTACCCAGTTGACATAAGCCTTTTGTCTTATTATTTACAACACCACCATCTTGTATTAACATATTAGTTCACTTAAAGTGCCTCCCTGCTCTCCCTTTAGTGCTCTCATAGGATTTGAGTTGGCATTTCCATAAGTAGATCACCCAGATGTTCCCGGCAGCACTATTAACTGCTGTTAATATTTGTATGTAAATGCATATTTTTTACAAACAAATTGCCGTCAGCAGCACCATCATACATCATATTCCATTGAGTGTTAATTAGCTATTAAAAATCACGTGTGTTGCTGATAATGAACAATGGCCTTGAGTTGCATTGACGACACATTGTAAGATGTGAAGTGTAGCAGAGCATATGCATAAAACATATCATTTGAAATTCAAATGATTATTGCCATAAATAAATGCTTGCTAATTATGCAGTTTCTGTCTGTCTCAGATAGAGTGTAGGCTTCTATATAGCACTGTATGTGTAAAGAATGACAGCACGTAAGACAGGCCAGAGCAAAAGGCGTTTATATAATTGTTTAAATTAAACATAAGAGCATCAAATATTTGTGATTTTAAACCAACCTTGCTGTCAGCATGCAGATTTTCTTTTGTTCTTCTTCAGAGTAATACTCGAGCATGACACTGACAACCAAGACGATCCATCAAAATATCTGCTGTAAATTCATAAGCAAGGAAGAACATATCCTGATATTCCTTTTTCCCTCAAGCTTTTGTCATCAGATTGCTTGCTTTGTATCACAACAGTCTAAAAACCCTAAAATACTTAATGATCTAAAAGGGTAAAAAGCATTTTTACATGATAAATCACAGTTCAATGTTTAATCGGGTATTGCAATTATTTTAGTAACAAACCATAGCTAATATATTATTTTTTAATTCCAGCACTATTGGATGATTTACATAAACATCTGGGAAGTCATAATATTTCGGGGACAAATAGTAAATGTGTATAGCCTTATGTACACCCTCTGCTGTATTGCCAAGGATACTTCACTTTATGTGAGACTTTCTACTCGATTTCTCCTCTGCTTCTAACATGAATTTGATTATTCCACAGTAGTTTGTGAATCAGGAATCCTGTGTCACAGCTGTACCACAGGCCAAACGCCGAGGCTACAGTTCTGCAGGGGATTTCTCTCTCTTTTACCCCTCATTAAAACACTTTGTTCTATTCATTTGCATAGAGGCTTTGGATGGACTTTAATGAACTCCTCATGCAAGATAGGTTCATAAAACATGTTTCCAGAGTGCTAATTATACCAAAAGAATGCTGACTCTATGGAAGAAATGTATATTAGATGTAAAATGCTTTGTGTAAAATGTGTTTCTTCTCGTGATTACTGGCCCGTACCCTGGAACAGTGAGTCATTAGATATTGACGGCTGTTTTATGGGTTGTTCTTTTGCCTCATGTGCGGGTCTCCACTGGGGAAAGAAGAGATAATGTCTGACTGCAAACTCAGTTCAGCGTTATAGTGTTTAGTGCTGCAACAATCAATAATTTTCATTGTCAATTATTCTGCCAATTACTTTCTACATTTATCGATAAACAATTTGGTCTTTAAGAGGTTGGAAAACTGTGAAAAGTGTCCATCCAAGGTTCTCAAAGTCCAAGGTGATGTCTTTCAATGTCTGCTTTCAAGTCCAAAACCCAAAGACAGTCGGTTTAATATGACATTAAACAGAAACATTAGACATATTTGAAAGGAGAAGAGCATTTTCTGCCATTTCTGAAACATTACTTTAACAACTTATTAAATTAACTAACTAATAGGCATTTTTTCTGTTGATCAATTAGTCAATAATAGTTGCTTGCTTAAGATAAAGCACCTAAAAATACGTTATCATGGTACGTGCTGTATTAGAACAACTGTGTTGTGTCACCATATTAACAAACTATACAGGCTTATTCGTGTCATTTGGCTCACATTTGCTCACTCTCCACTGACTCTCCGCTGTGTGTGTGTGTGTGTGTGTGTGTGTGTGTGTGTGTGTGTGTGTGTGTGTGTGTGTGTGTGTGTGTGTGGTGTGTGTGTGTGTGTGTGTGTGTGTGTGTGTGTGTGTGTGTGTGTGTGTGTGTGTGTGTGTGTGTGTGTGTGTGTGTGTGTGTGTGTGTGTGTGTGTGTGTGTGTGTGTGTGTGTGTGTGTGTGTGTGTGTGTGTGTGTGTGTGTGTGTGTGTGTGTGTGTGTGTGTGTGTGTGTCCAGTTTGTGTAGGCATTGCATTAACAAGCTTTAATCCTCTGCATGGCTTATTGGATCCAAATCCCTCCAAAGCTTTTAAAGCTCCTGCCTTTTCATTTCTGTGTCTCTGTCTACCTATCATTCCATCAGACAGTGAGGGAAGCTGATGTTACCTTCTCTGTACTTTTCAAATCAGGCTTTGGTGTCAAAGCATCTTCTCCCTGTCATACTTAAACCATATTTGAGGATTGTTGCATGGGGTTGTTGTATTTTCCAATTTGGCATTTGAGTCATGGGTTTCAAATTGATTGAATGTGAAATGGCAAAAACAGTCCACAGATATTTCATACAACCCAATGGCAGACATGAACAACACCTATGAAGTCAGCTGATAAATAAACTGAACTGTATTGTTTTTATATCGTAAGCGACTTCACTATCTGAATTGTATCGCTCTTGACTTACAGCTGACACTTTATCTGTCAGCATTTCCTAGAAAACTTCGTTATAAAGCTACTAGAGAAAAATCCATTTAAAGCGTCACTCTGTCCAACTAGGTTGAGGACAGCTGACTGTGACTCCCTGATTTCACCGTCTCTCCATCCATTGCTTTGTCTATGAAGGGATTGGAGCAAAAATAGAAATTAAACATTACAAAGGACTATTTCTTGCTTCCATCTACAGTATTTTGGCAGATGATCATAGAAGATGTAATTCTCTTCTGTTCCTTCCTCTCTCTTTCTCTTTATTAGAAATGTCTGATCTTGGTTAAGAGTGTTTCTGAGACTAAATGAATATCAGGGTTAATGTGCCTATTATTAACATGTGGGTTCTATTTTTAATAACCTCAAGACCACTCGCTGGTCTTCAATATCCAGTTCCACATGATGTAACCTAATTAATGTGACAGAGACAGATGCTTTAATTTCTTACACGGGATCTCGTTCCAGATAATGTTTGAAGAGATAGATTATATATCAGCATTTAGCAGAAAGGTAACCGAGAAAATACCTTATGAGATTATCCATACAACGCCAAGACCTGTTATAGGGCAACTGTATTGTACATCCACAGTTTAATTAATGAAAAAGTAATTGAATCTTGCAGGTAGTGAGAATACTGAATATATTGAACTGCATGTTGTTAATTTATTAGTGTTTCCATGCTTGTGTGGATTCAAGGTGCAAAATCAAATCCTGCATATTACATGTGCACCCTGATATTCTTACCACCTCATTTTGGGGAGAAATCATTTCAAGGGTGCTGATGAAGTTCCATTGTGAAGGTCATTATTTCCACTCTTGTAATTTATTAATAAGCTCGGGCTAATCTGCCATAGTCGCTTACTTTTATGGATATTCTTACAAATGCTCTACCTGTTATTTTTAGCCCTATTGAGCAGTGC